GCCTGTAGTAGGCGATGCCCTGGTCGTCTTCTCTCAGGTGTACCACTGCCCATGCTGATGTACCCGGTGCTTTGGCATGGTAGGACGCGTCGGTGAAGTAGTAGTGCCGCTTCACAGCCGACAAAGGTCTCGAGGGAGCAAGGTGCTTCACCGCCAGCCTGGTATGCTCGTGCAGGTCGTGCTCTTCGAGGTCGTAATGCCATGTCAGCTTCTGGATGTGTTGCTGGAATTGCGTCGGTAGGAACTGTGGGGATCCGATGTTGAGGAAGCGTCGCTGCGTGCTGTTGCTGTCTCTGCGCTGATCGGTTTTGTGCGCTTGCCCGTGTGTTGCTGGTCTAGTTCTTTGTCGTCGTCTCCTTCTGCGCTCGCAGCGCCGGTAGTCGTCGCTGTACTCGCTGTCAGTGCTGGTGTGTTGGCTAGTGCGTTGGTTGTCTCGGGCGTCTTCCGCCGTTGTGCTCCGCCTGGTTGGGATACGGAAGGGGTGCATGGCTGAGGTTGTACGTCGTTGTGGTGCGGAGATGGGTTGTTGCCGCCCCGTCGGCTGCCCGCTAGCTCCGTGGTAGCTCCTGAACGGCAGCATTGCTCGTCGGGGATGTGCGTCCCTCTGGGGCTGGGGGTGCTGTCTGGCATTAGTCGTTGCGTCTGGGAGTGGTTGCTCGGTCTCCAAGTGGTCGGTCGGCTTGTAGGGCTTGGTCCCCGTCCGCGTCGTGCTCCTTTCCCGTGGGGACGGCGGCTCTTGGCAGCACTTCTCATCGGCGTTCAAGTTGTCCGATCCAGCCCGCACGGCCTGACTGAACAGGAGCTCGTGTGATTGGGCTTGGAGCATGCTGTCACGTAGTCGATGAGATATGCCGCCATGAGGGTCGGTTGGGTTCGGTGGTGGAAAGATAGGTAGTGCTGGCTCTGCGCGTTGCTCCTGAGGGTCTAGGTTTGGTTTGGCTGGTGTCGGTGGCGGGAGTGTAGATGGTTGCTCGTCGTTGGACCTGGTTGAGCGCCCCAGCACGACATCGCTGTCACGAGAGCAAGGCATCGGCCACCCTCCCGTCGGAGGCATGCTCTCGCGTCTTCGCACCTGCAAGGGGGAGTCAACCCGCAGCTGCTCGGGGAGAGCAGGTCCGTCCGTCGACGGCCTTGCAGAGTGAGGCGACCCCGCGCTGACACGCCAACGCGGGTAGGTCCTGGTCGGTACGTTGTGTTGTTTGGACTCGTCAGAGCGTGGAGTCTGCCCTGCTGATGTGTACCGAGGCGCTGCCCTCCAAGTAGTACGCGACCTCGGACAGATGCTGCGCTCTCGACTCGGGCACTCGCTGGCGGAGCCCAAGTCCTGCTCTTCAGGATGTTCCGCTCCAGGGGGCTGAGTGCTATCTGGCAGTGCTTCGTCCTCGCAGATGCTGCTGTCCGCAAGCGCCTCGAAGGGGTTCTTGATCAGCGGCACTCCAAGGTCTGGTCGCATCTCCACCCTGAGTGCCTGTCTTAGTAATCTTTTGCGCCTCGCCACTCTTCTTTCTCTTGCAACAGCTGTGGCGTCTTTGAGGTGCGGTTCTGCTGATGTAGGGCTGTAGCTTTTGCTGTCAAGGTATGTGTCCTGTATTTGTTCTAGCTGGTAGGCTTGTATGGGTCCATGCTGTATCTGTCGATTGTAGTCAGTGCTTGGTTGTGTCGTGGTAACTGCATTTAATTTGGCTGTCGCTGGTGGACTAGCCAGCCCTCTAGGGGTCTTTGTGCTTGCCGTGTGGTCTGCTTGCGAGCCCAGGTGGCTGGGGTCGAGAGGTTGGCGGGCAAGCCAGGCTCCGTCGACTGCAAGCGTGGGGTGCTCCTCGAGTACCCGGCGCTGGGAGACCTCCAGATGTGATAGATCTGGTAGTCTCGACCTGCTGCCTGGGTCCTCCTTCGCATGGCTGTGCTGCCTGGGCTGCGACGCCGCATGGGCCGCCGCGGCTCCCGCGAAGTGGGATGTCGAACCAGGCGTGGCCAAGGGGTGTCGCCTTGGTCCACGCTGTTGGCACTGCGTCGGACTGCTCGAGTAGCTCTCCCACTCTTGTTGCAGTCTCACCCTGTCGCGGTGCTGGTTGCTTGTCTGAACCCCGCTGGCGGTGGGGCTCGCGGCCTGAGGGAGTCGCTCAGGTCCGCGCTTGGAGCGCTCAGACTTGATGTCGCCGTTCTGTGGGTGGTCCCCACCCTTGCCCACAGACGCGGCGTCTAGGGAGCTGGTAGTGCAGGTAGTTCGTCTGCTACGCCTCTTGAGTCGGGGCTCCCTAGTAGAGCGTTGGTGGTTTGAAGCGGATGCGGCATCCCCCAGGCTCGCATCGGCTTGGACATAGCTATGTAGTGTGATGGAGGCTAGGTGCGATCGTGTGCGTATGGCCGAAAGCCATGGGTGTGGGTCGTTGGGCGTAGGCTCGTCACCGCGCGGGTCTCTGAGTCTGGGCCCGATGTCCCCGATATCTTCTGGTGTAGTTGTCTGTGCGCAGGTCTGGGCCAGTTGCCCCCCAGCCTGCGTACTCCGTATCAGTTTTTTGACAGTCGACCCCCGTCGAGGTCGCTCTCGCCGCTCTCGATGAAGGATGCCACTCTGTCACCTGGGTCCGCGAAGCCATCGTCCGCGTCGCAGATCCTGACCTTTTTCGGCTGGCTCCTCGCCCTCCTGGGTTCCCTTGGTTGCTTCAAGTTACCTCTGCCTGGAGGTGCAGAACTCGTCCTCTCTGGCGTGCCCAAGTGGAAACGCGGTGGTGGCAGTCGTGGCTCGTGTGGCTCGGTGGGCGTGATATCCTCAATCGGCATCCGTGGAGGTGTGCTGGGGCAATCCTCCTCGTCGCGGCTGAGGTCGATGAGCAGCGTCGTCATGGGAGTCTTGGCTGGCTGTGAACGCTGTTGCGGGGTCTTGTGTGGCGTGAGAGGCGTGACGGGCGGAAACAGTATATGTCTTGGCGTGGGCTGTTCCGTCGGGATGGGTGAGTCGGCTGGTATCGTTGGTGAGAGTGAGGCGAGGTCTGTCGGGGCTTCGCCCTCCTTCTCCTTGCGCAGGCCTTGGCGGTTCTTCAAATCTTCGTCCAGCAAGTCAGCGTCGTCGGATTCGCCAATTGGGATGCAATCGCTGCTCGCCCGTACCTCGAGCATCCCTGAGTGCGAAAAGGAGCCGACCCTGTTGTACTCCTCGATGTGCTGGCGCTGCTGAGGTGGTGGTGGGGGGAGCGGCCACTCTTCGGCGGATGTCCTCGGCACAAAGCTTTGGTTCTGGGAGCTGAGGTCGTCGCTCGACGAGGGGGTAGGCTCCTCTGGCGTTGGCATAGACGATGTATGGGACCTCTCTCCAAATCCCACCTCGGCCAGCTCCTCGAGGTACGGCGGCAGTTCTGGGTGTGGAAGTTCGTACTGGCTAGGTAGCAGCCGAAGTAAGTCTGCCTCAAGTTGCTCCCTCTGGTACGCGCCCTCCTGGTCCGCCATGCCTTGGTCGCGCTCGCTCGTGGCTGTGTCTCCCATGAGGTCATCCGTCATGTCGATTAGCAGGTCTTCGTCCACTTGTCCTCCTGCTCCCCAGGCATCCCGTAGTGCAGTCTGGAGTCCTGCCGTTTGCAAATCATGTGCCCGTTGGAGTTCTTGTAATTGCTGCTGCCTCTGCGCTTCGTTCATGTGATGGTTGTGGGCGTAGTGCTGCGCGATGGCCTGCATCTCCTGCTGGCACTGGTGCTGCAGTGTGCTGTGGTACTGATGCGCCGCTTGGTTCTCCATCTCCTGCTGCTGCTGTAGTGCATGGAGTTCGCTTGTGGCTGCTGCTTGTCGCTGCAGTGCCACCTCCTCCATCCTTTGGGCCTTGTCCACCTCCTCCTGGTGCTCGCCGACGCGCTCCAGATACCTTTCCTGCTCGTGCTGCATCTCGTATGCCTTCGCCTGGATGGCTGCGTGCTCCAGGTTCAGGACGACCCGCATCGCTTCGCGCTTGTTGGCTTCTTCCTGATGCTCGTGGGCCATCTGCTGGTAGTTCACTGCGATCCGCAGCTCCTCCTCCTTATAAGCGCTGTGGCGGGCGCATCTCTCCTGGTACTCCGCCTCCGCCATCTCCTGCACCGCCTTCTCGTTGTGCTCCTGCGCCATCTTGTACCACTGGGCCTCTTGGGTTGCCATCTCTCTCACAACTTGCTCTTCCTGCCTGGCCTTCTGGACCTGCTGCGTGTAGATGGCTGCTCTTCTCTGGTCTTCCTTGTGCATCTCCTCGCGCAAGGTCTTCTTTTCCATCTCGATATGCATTTGCAGGTCTGCGAGCATCCCTTTGGCCCTTTCCTCCTGTGTCCTCTGGGTGCCTCTTTGTGCTTCGTATGCTTTTGCTTCCTCCTCCTCTAGCTTGGCGTTGTGGTGCCGCTTGAGAGCGTTGACCTCCCACATGTGCCACTCCTCCTGCTTGGCTTTCTTCCTCCTCCTCCTCCTCCTCCTCCTCCCTCCTCCCTCCTCCCTCCTCCCACCTCCCTCCTCCCCCTCCCTCCTCCGCTCTGGCCTCCGCCTCCGCCTCCTCCTCCGCTTCCGCCTCCGCCTCCGCCTCCGCCTCCGCCTCCGCCTCCGCTTCCGCCTCCGCCTCCGCCTCCGCCTCCGCCTCCGCCTCGGCCGCGGCCTCGGCCTCGGCCTCGGCCTCGGCCTCGGCCTCCTCCTCCTCCTCCTCCTTCCCCTCCTTTTCCCTCCTCCTCCTCTCCTCCTCCTCCTTCTCCTCTTCCTCCTCCTCCTCCTCCTCCTCCTCCTCCGCGCCCGCCCCCCCCCCCCCCCGCTGCGCCCATCCCAAGATCAAGAACGCCTGCGCCTCTAGCAAGGCATCGCCGAACCGTGGCAAGCGTTCGCAATATGTGGTATGCACCAGAGATCGCGCCGCTCCAAGGAAGGCCGCGCCAGACCGCGGCGAGAGCAACCGCGCGCCGCGTCGCCTACGGAGGAATCCTGCCCCATCCTTCCCCGCCTGTCCCAGTGCGACTCCGGCGCGGCAGCGTATGGGGGCGGCGCGGACCAGCCCCCCCGTCCTTGCCGCCCCCCTTCGCAGGCTTGCCCAGCTGGGCCCCCGAGCCCCTGCCCATCGCCGCCGCGGCACCGACGCCCTTGGCCTTGTCTGCTACTTTGTTCTTGAATTCCGCCAGCACCTGCCGCGCGCGCGCACTGGGCGCGCAGACGAGCCGAACGACACATGGGAGCCACGGGCCTCCCAGTCGAGGATAGACAGAACTGCCCCCGCCGACTCGCCGGACAGCGTGCCCTGCTCCAGCCTAGCGTCACGCAGCCAGCCCCAAGAACGACATGACGCGCAAACGCTACTCCCCGCCTGATTGCAATTTTTTCGCCGCAGCCTCAGGTCGCATTTATACTTCGCGCGCGTTCCCCCATGCTCTTCGGCGACCTCGCGCCGCAGCCGCTGGGGAGAGGACCCGCGGTGCCGCTGCGGCCGTAACCTGAGAATCTGGAACTGATAACCCAGAAACTGCGCAAGCGTGAGTGTACCGGCGAGAGCCAACTTCATTCCCAAATCCATGAGGTGAGCCTGCGCGCGTGCGTGCAAGTAACAGGGGCGCCGGGCCCCTGCTCACGACGGCGTGTGCGCGCCATGAAGTTCGCAAACCCTAGGTAGTCAACCCGGGTCTCCGCCGACGCAGCTCTCTTCGCGATCAAGGACTCGCGGGTTCTCTGACTTCAACTCCCCGATCCCACGAGCACTCCGAGCTCTGGTTTCCGCGACCTGGTGCGCGCGCGCGCGCCGCGCAGCCCGCGCTCGCCCCTCCCGAGCTGATGCTCAGACCAGGGCGGCCTGAAGTTGATCTGCAGGTCCTCCCCGTCGGGGGGGCCCATCCACGGGCGGCCGCGGTCCCTGGCCGTCTTTGCTGCCAGGCCCTGGAGCATCGCGACGCCCCCCGTCGTGAGGGAGGCCGGGCAGGCGCCGCGCCTCGAAGCGGCGCGTCGCCTCCTCCGCGGGGAAGTCCTCCGAAGGAAAAACGCTCGGGCCATTCTCGGCCGCGCGCGCCTGCCGCGACGTCGCGCCGCGCGCGACTCGCGGGGGCGCGCGCAGGGCGTCTGCAAGCAAAGGGACAGCTTCTTGTCTTTCTTCTCGCGCTCGAGCGCCGCGGTTCGAAGCTTCGCGTGCTCGCGCGTGGCCTCGGAGAGCTCGCCGCCCACCGCCGCGGGCCCAGGCCCGACCGCTGGCATCTGTGGGGCCGCGGGGCCCCGAGCTGCGCGCTGATGCGCGCGGGTCGCCAGCGACGCCTGCGCGCGAAGCCGCGCGGTGGTTCGAACGCGCGGCGCAGCGTGGTCCGCCCCTGCGCACCTGGGCGCGAGAGATGCGGGCCGTCGGCCAGTCGCCTGGCTCGCTCGCGGGGGCAGCTCCCGATCTGATATGGTCAAGAACCCACTGGCGCGTGCGCTCGTCGGCAAAATCGTTCGGCTCCACGCTCTCGCAAAGCTCCGCCATGTGGCGTGCAATTGCAGCGTGCCACCCGAGGGGCCGACCGCCCTCGCGCGCGCCAGGGTCGGTCCCAGCGACGAACTCGACCTGCGCCGCTGCGGCGACGGAGCCGGCGCGACCACCGAAGGCCGCCCCCAGCAGGCCCGCCAAGACCGCGCCAATCTCATCGCGAGGCCACATCGCGCTCGACTGGGCACAAGTGCGCAGGGAACGACACTCAAACGCTCTCAGCGGCTCTCGAACCCGCGCGCCACGCGTTGCGCCCCCGCGCTCGCGCCACCTCCCGTAAGGGCGGGCGCTCCGCGCCGCGATGCAGCCGGACCGCCGGCCCCTGCTGGGGCCTGGTCCCGCGCCGCGGGCCCGCTGGCCGCGCGCCTTCCAGGCAGGGCCCAGATGGGCCGCCACGCGCGCTGCAGGCCCGATGGCCGCGCGCCCCGAAGACGACCCCTGATGGAATCACCTGGCCCCGCGCCCCGCGCCTGAAGGTCCCGCGCGCGCCGGCGCCCGGCCCCTGCCGCGGCCCGCCCCCGCGCTGCAGGCCTGATGGCCGCGCGCCCCTCAACGCAGAGGGCCCCTGATGGGGCCGCGCCGTGCGCAGCTCGCCCTGATGGAGTCCCCCGGCTTGGCGCCCCGCGCCTGAAGGCAAAAAGCATCGCCGCGTCGGCCCCCGCTGGAACCCGCTCCCGCGCCGCCGGCCCGGCGGCCGCAGCGCCGCCGCACACTGGGGCCCTCGATAAGGCAGCATTGCGCGCCGCGCCGGCGCGGCCACGCGCCGACCAGATAAACAAATACTTACCGCGCATCGAGCAGCCAGCAAAACGCGACGAGCCCCCCCCCCGCGCCCCAACCCAGCCCACCTCGCGAGCCCAAGCCACCCCGCCCCCCCCTCCGCCCGCCCACCCCTCCCGGCTAAGCGCCCGAGCCCCGGCCGCCAGCCCCCCCCCCCCCGCCGCCCGAACGCCGAGCCCCGCCCTACCCGCGAGCCAAGCGCCCGCTCCCCCCCCACGCCCCGCCGCGCCCGCGGCGAACCCCGCCCACGCCCACACCCCAACAAGCACCCCCCTTCCCGCGCGGGCCAGGCCCCCCAAGCCTCCCACCCCCACAGGCGCAGCCACCCCCCCAAAACGCCCAAGCCCCCCCCTCAAAGAACAACTGGAAACCACCCGCTCCCAAACCGCCCCAGGCGAAGAAACAGAAAGCCCCCGCCCCACCCCGCGACCCGCGCGCCAGGACAGGCGGGGGGGCGGAATCCCAAACGCGGAACATGGCCGCGAACGCAGCGGCAACCCCGCTGGGTCGCCGCGCTCTCCCGTGCCAATATCGCAATGATTTGTTCCTCCGCGGCGGCCCTCGGCGCCGCGCGCGCGCGCGGGAGAGCGAATGCGTTGAGCGACGCGCTGCCTAGAGCCCTGACACCGCGATCTGCTCCCTCCCCATCGGCGCCATCTCCCCCGCGGCGCAAACGTTCTGCTCGCCCGCCTTGTAAACAAGCCGCGTCAAATCCTCCAACCAGGCTGAACAGCAGCCTGAACCGCTTGCTGGCAACAGGGGGGGGGGGGGGGGGGGGGTCGATGAGTAGGACGAGACGAGCGCGCATATATGCATTCTCCAGGTGCAGAAAGAAGCAGATGGGGCGGAAAGAACAGCCTGTTCGCCCCAGAGGCAGGGTCAGGCGGGGAGAGCTACCCCCAGACGATTTCTCATGCAAACATGGCTGGCTTGCAGCACAGCCTGGCCACGCGCGGACCTGTCCGACCGGGCGCGCCCAAACAGCCCGCGACCCCCTGCGAGGCCCAGTCCCGAGGGAAAGCCCGCACGCAAACACCCAGGTTCAGAGGCCAGCGAAAAGCCAGAAACTTGACTCCCCGGGCAACTCGCATCGCCAGCGAGCGGGGCGAATTGGGCTGCAAAGAATCGCGACGCAGCCCGCGTGCTCACTCCTGTCAAAGGCCGCCACGCCCTCATAGCTCACTGTCAGCTGAAGGAACCCTGTCTCGGAGACCGTGACCTTCGCCGAGATCGCAGGATGCTCTGGCGAGAGGAGCCCATGCACTTGTCCACCCAATCCGTTATTCCCACCCTGGAACAGCCCCACGACTTTTGCCAGGATCGCACGCGCTTGCCCGAGGTAGAGCTGCGCTTGCCCGAGGTAGAGAAACGGGTTGAGAGTGGTGAGGGAAAGGGCGCGACGGGCGCGGAGCTCCCGCGGCTGCTGGCCCATCGGGTTCGTAGTAACGGCGCTGCCGGCAGTCCGTCTCTTACCGAAGAAGGCTGAGCAAGCGAGAGTGGATGAGAAGTCAAGGACCACCGTGCGAGTCAATAAGTAGGCACGCGCTGTGGGCTCTTCCCCAGTAGGGCTGCGCACGTGGGCAACGGGGCGCACTGCAACTTCCAAGGGGATGATCCGACATTTTTTCCTCGCAGCAGTGGTGATGGTGAGGTAACAATCGATGGCAGCTCCGTGAATCGCCACGTACATGTCGTTACCTGTCGTAACGGCGCTGGCGGGGATGCCGCTAGAGTCAGAACTCACGGTGTCCAGCAGAACGTATGTCCTGCGAACGTGGCCGAAACTCGGGGCGAACATTCTGGCAGGTATACGCCAGAGCAAGAAGAGGAGGAAGAGGAGGAGGAGGAGGAGGAGGAGGAAGAGGAAGAGGAGGAGGAGGAGGAGGAGGAGGAGGAGGCGAGGGAGGAGAGGGACTGATACGAAATACCCCAGCATCGTATCATCTAACACCGCGCGCGCTTCTGGAAACCGAGCACGGCGAGCCGAGTAGCACTTTCCCGATCAGGTCCCACGGCACGGAGCATCCTGCGACGAGCCGAGCCATCATTATCCCTCAACTTGGTGCCCGCACGAGCAGACGCCGCCGGTGACTGTCACATCCCGCCTCGAAGCTCAGCATCCGGATCAAGGGTGACCTGGTGGATCGCTTCGTCCTTCAGCACCTTCGTATCCCGAAACTGTTCCTCCCGACTCGTTGCCATCGGTATGAACTCGGACTGCATCCGAGGGAAATACAGACCGAGCATTCTCATCTGATTCGTAAACAGCTCAAGCTCCTAGGTGCAAGCTCCGAAACGCTCGGATACCATCCTGGTGGGATCACTGGGCTGGGAGGTCATGGCCTTCACATCTTCGACACCTGGGGGCGCAGGCGCTGGGGGGCCGCTCCCGAACCTGCCCAGACAGCGGAAGACAGGAGCAGCCTCTCATCCCTCCCGCCCCTGGATCTTCCCCCATCCCCCCCTCCCCCCTCGAGCGCGCGGCCCCACGAAAACCCTCGCGCGGGGAGCTCCGATGGCATACTTCTCGCTCCTCCCCCCTCCCCTTCCATCCCCCCTGCCCTCCCCCCTCACATGTGCCCAGTGTGGGCCACAAGCTGCGGCGATGGGGGGCGGACGGAAGGGGGGGGAGGGGGGGGGGGCACCTTCCCGTTTCGGCGATGGGGGAGGGGCGGAGGGGAGGGGAGAGGAAGGGAAGGGACGTAGGGCCGAGACAACCCGGCCGTGTTCTGCCGTCGGCGACTAGTGGCCTCGGGCTGCTCCGCGGGGCGCGGCCAAGATCGCAGAAGGGCCGCGGGAGGGAAAGGGGGGAGGAGTTGGCGGGGGGCAGGGGCCGAGGGGCGGAGGAGGGGGGGCAGGAAGGAGAGAGGGAAGAAAGGGCGGAGGGGGGCCAGGAGGGGAGGCGGCATGAGGAGGTGAGCAGCGACGGGCGCGGGAGCGAGCGCGAGGGGGGCAAGGGGGAGGGGGGCAGGATCGCTTCGTAACGTCAACACCCAGAGGTCTTGACCAATCCGCCAGGGCCGG